AGTCTGGGTGCGCGTAGCGCGTCGCCGCGCAGAGCCTCCAGGAGGACAACAAATTCCGGCCACCGTTGCGCAGGTAGCCCATCCAGGGATCGCGAGGTCTCGTCTGGGTGTGCGTAGCGCGTCGCTCCGCCGAACCTCCCAGGAACGCATGATAGTGGCGACGGCTGCGCGATTGAAAGTTCACCCGGTGAGCGCGAGGTCTCGTCTGGGTGTGCGTAGCGCGTCACTCCACTGGACCTCCCAAGAAAGCGCACGAAAGTGGCCGCGGCTGAGCAGCTGGCAGCTCCCGAGGGAGCGCAAGGTCTCACTCTGGGAATGTGTGTGTGTAGCTCGTGGCTCCGCTGGACCTCCCGTGAGCTGCGCAGCTGGCAGCCCCCGAGGAGCGCGACATCCAGCCTGGGTACTCTAGGTATCTTCATAAGCGTCGGGAGCTCAACCTCGCCTCGTCGTCGCGCCGCGACGGGGGTCGGAGCGCCTTCGGCGCGCGGTGGCTGCCCGCGACGGGGGTCGATGTGGAGATGTCGGCGGGGGTGACGCCCCCCCGACGCTTGTTACAAAACCCGGAGTATGCGTGGCGCGTTGCTCCGCTGGACCTCCCAGGCGCGCACCCGGGTGGTCACGACTCCGCAGCTGGCAGCCACCCAGGGAGCGGTTTCGCAGGACGTCCGTTGATGTTTGGTGTGGGAACGCCACGCTTCCCATAGCGAAACCGTCGAAAGCCAAGAAACCCAGGGCACCCTGGAGGCGAGCAGGGTGTTTCTTGGCATGGGTTCCCACTGTACCAGAAGTGTCCCTGACCCAAGGTGGTGCCCCTGGGATTCTCCAAAAGGCAGCCACGGCTTCCAGGGCGCCACTCGCGAGGCCACGAGGGCCCCAGGGGCTCCTCCAACATGGAGCGAAAGGCCGGGGACACATCGGGGCAAGGACGCACTTTAGCACCCCCCAGAACCAGGTCGGGCAGGTCTCCACTGTATTCAAAATAGGCACCCAACCAGATGAGGGCTTTAGGAAGACGGCCCAAACATAAACTCTCGGTGGTCTGCGTGGGGGTCGGCGCTGCACTCCCCCGTTCCCCTGGCGCGCGGCGCTGGAGGCGTCGCCAGCGGGGGCTCCAGTGCCAACCCAAGACATCGTCACCGACCTACGAGCGCTTCAGTGTGTGAGTTGTTGTCTTGTGCGTGTGCGTGTGTGTGCGTGTGCATGTGCGCGTGTGCGCGTGTGCGCGTGCGCGTGCGTGTGCGTGTGCGTGTGCGTGTGCGTGTGCGTGTGCGTGTGCGTGCGCGTGCCTCACGCACCTTTGGACACCCGAAAAGGGTACGGGAAACATGAGCACAATGCCCGACAGCAACTGTTGTCCAACAGCGACAGCGGCCGCTGCTGGGCGGGCGGCTCTTTGGCTTTCAGTGAACGACGTCCGCGGCGGCGCGGGCAGCGAGTCCTGTTCAGAACGAACAAAAACTGCTGTTGGGCATCGTGCCCATCCTTTTGTCGTAACCACCTCGATCGTCGCGAACTGCGGTGCGCCCTCGCGCCCCCGCGCCGCCGGCAGGGCGAAGAGAACGCCCTCTCCCAGACCACCAGGCACGACGGCGCGGCCGTCCCCCTTGTGCCCATGTTTTCAGGAGTTGCTAAAGGTGCCCCTGGCCCAAGGTGCCCCCAGCTTTTCGCTCCACGATGGAGCCAATTGGCCCCTTCTGGGCCCCGCAAGGGGTGCTCTGGAGGCCGCGGGGGCCTCCTTGGAAATCCTAGGGGCACCTTGGGCCACGGACACTTCTAGCAGTAGAAGCGTCGCCGATCTCGACCCTCAAGAATCCGAGAAAGGCCCGTGCCCTCCTGGAAGGCCCCTCGTGCGGCAATGAGTCGAGATGCAGAGTGCCAGAGGTGCGACGACGACGACGACGATGACGACGACGACGATGGCGACGACGACGACGACCACCACCACCACCACCATCGCGAGGGCGTTATAATCGACCCGTATCATAAAGACACGCGATAAGGATGCAAGGGCATTGGAAGGCCGTTTCGAAGCTTTTCGAGCGGGGCGCGGCCAACGAGAGTGGCCAAAGATGGACCGAGGAGGCAAGGATGCAAGGGTACCCTTGGGAACATTGCCCATCCTTACTATGCGGGTTGTCTGTACTCGCTCGTTAGCTGAGGCAAACTCGCCTGGTTCATAGGAAGAAATCTCTGAATTACCAGCAACGTTTGGAGCTCCGCGCATGTTTCTCGGATCGGCGCTGGACCCCCCTACAGCACGCGAAGCGCGCCAGGGACGGCACCAGAAGCGCTGGCTGGGGGGCTGGCGTGAAACCAAGAAATCCGCGTGGATCCTTCGGCCGTGGGTAGAAACAGGAAACAGGAATGCGGTGGGAGTGTATTCGGCTCCCGCCCGCCCCCTGCCGTCGAGGGGAAGAGGGAAAACCGCTCTCACCTCCTGGAATAGGAATATGCCGAAAGCAGATTGGGATCTAGGGTCCAAGATACGTATTTCAAAGACCGATGGGCAGCTGAGGTTAGGTTGCTCCCATCGCACTTGAGGACCACATCCCAGAACTAATTTCGAGCACCCCGAAAAGTGTCGAAATAGTATCAAGACCGTGTCGGACGAGTGTCTCCTGGGGCCCGACACGTGAAAACCCTCGAGCTTCGGCACTTTTCTGGTGCTCGAAGTTCTTTCTGGTAGTCAAGGCTAAACGGCAGGTTGGAACATCATAAATCGAGGGCACAAGACGCATCTTTCAACGACCGATGGGCAGCTGAGGCAGGCGCGCCCTCCCGGTGCCACGCCCCCCCCCCCCGCCGCGCCCGTCAGGCTCCGCCCGCCCGACCCGCCCAGTGCGTTCGCCCGCCCGCGGAGGCACCCAGAATACCTGAGACCTGGGGCCCCAGTCCTCCTCCTCCTCCTCCTCCTCCTCCTCCTCCTCCTCCTCCACTCTCCTCGGGGGCGCGCAAGCATGGATTCGCGATCCATGGATTTGGCGTGGGGTCGCCCAAATCCATGGATCGGGGGAGGTGCCCTCGCCAGAAACGGCGGCGGGCGCCGCCTCGCTCGGCGGCGGACATCCGGGATTTCCCATGTAAGCGGGACCCGTCTCTAATCCACGCCCCCTTGATCCATGTTTGCGATCGCCTGAAGCCAGGGCTGAACCTAAACGCTGTGTGTTCGTGTTGTTTTCGTGTTGTTCTTCGTTTTGCTATACCTGCTGTCCTGCACCTCGCTGCCACAACGAAAGACAGAACACAGCCGAAACCCAGCCAACAGCGCTTAGGCCCAGCGCCCTGCTTTAAGCGACTGGTGGGCAGATGAGGCAGACGGCGGAGCAAAGGCATGGGACCCCAGAATCGAATCGATGAGTCGGATCGACGATCGAAATGAATCGGATCGGCGGACATCGGCAGCCGAGTCGGGAAAAAGTCGAATCGGCGAAAATCGGCAGGCTGGTAGGCCTCCGTTGAGAAATCGGAGCCCAAATCGGAATCCAAGGCCGAATCGAATCGGAATCAGAAACCATCGAAATCGAATCGAATCGAATCGGAGGAATCGAAGCGATCCCTGCAAAGGTCCCCCCTGTGGGAACAGATGGGAACAACCAGCGACCGCAACCACATCGAGTACGCACCCCGAGAGGGATGTCTTGCGCATGCCCACAGCCGTTGGAACACCGAAACCCAAGTCGAGGTCGTGTGTGCTGTCGAGGTCGGCGGCGTCTCCCTCGAGAAGCCCTCCAGAAGAATCCGCTTAGCTTTCTGCAGCAACTCATGGGAGCCTCCCCTACCCTCTTGTCGGATCTTTCGAATCGACGCTGGTCGGCGCTGAATCGACGCTGAATCGACGTCAAATCAACGCTAATCGACGCTGGCCGACGCCAAATCGGCGCCGTCTCCTCGACTCCCAGACGCCAGTCGGCGCTCCCCATCCTCCTCACCCTCCTCCTCCCCGTGCGGCTCCTCCCCCTGCTCGTCCCACTTCTCCTCCTTCTGCCTCGTCGTGGTCAGCGTCCTCATCTTCAGGGTCGGCGGCACCGGCCGTAAGGCCTTCGCAATCGGCGCTAATCGACGCTGGCCGACGCCAAATGGGCCAGCGCCTCCTGGACTCCCAGACGCCAACGGACGCGAGTCGACGCTGAGGACGGAAGTGCGGGTTGCGAAGGCAGGCAAGGTTCCCACGAGGTGCTGCCGAACTTAGGTGCTGCTGTGGCTCTCTGTTCCGCCCGGAGGAAGAGAGGGAGGAGGGAGGAGGGAGGAGGGAGGAGGGGGGAGGATGGAGGGGGGAGGGGGGAGGGGGGGAGGGGGGGAAAAGCTAGGTGCGCTCGCGTCATATCTGACGTCCTACCCCTCCCTCCCATCCCTTACCATGGCGCTGATTTTCTCTATCCGCGGACGCGTGTCGTAGCGGACCTGTGGCTCCGCGCGCGCGTGCGTAGTGGGTGGTGGTGCGCGTGCGTGCGTGCGTGCGTGTGCGTGGTTGTGGTGGTGGTGGTGGTGGTGGTGGTGCTGGTGGTGGTGGTGGTGCTGCTGCTGCTGCTGGTGGTTGTGGTGGTGGTGGTGGTGGTGGTGGTGGTGCGGCGCGGTGGTGGCGGGCGGATGGGCGCGCGAGAAAGAGGCCCGCGCTGGGGCGAGAACGCCATCCTGAACGACGGAGGCCAAACACCGATCCGAAAATGAGGCCCACGCTGCAGCGGGAGCACGATTCGGAACGGTTCGGGAGCAGAAATGAGGCCGGCGCCTCAGCGAGAGCAGCATTTTGAAAAAAACGCACGCGAAAACCCAACTCCCGGGAAACCTGTGTAAAAAAATAATACGCGGGGGGGGGGGCGGCCACTCCCAGCACGCCATCAGGGGAAGAGGGAGAGTAGTATTCATATTGAATAATTGTGGAGGGAGGAAGGAGGAGGGAGGGCAGCTCCGCCCCCCGGCCGCACGCTGGGTGCGCCCTGCGACGGGCACCGCGCGGCCAGCCCTCAGAGGCCCCGGCGTCGACCGGCTCCCTCGCGGGGCTAGTCCTCTCGCGGTGCTCCACGAGGGGGGGGGGCCGAGGGAACAGCGGGAGGGGAGGGAGCGGCTCCCTCGCGGGGTTGGTCCTCTCGCGGGGCGTCACGAGGGGGAGGGGGCCGAGGGAGCAGCGGGAGGGGAGGGAGCGGAGGAAGGGGCATACAGTAGGGGCCCGACCACAAGGAGCCCTCCACAAGAAGCCCAACCCTGAGACCCCAGGACGTCCACTGCTTGTTGGTGTGGCACCCTGGAGGCAAGCAGGGAAGGGAGAAAGCGGAGGAAGGGGCATAGAGTCAAGCCGCATAGTGAGGATGCGCGGTGAGGATGGCCTTGGCGGGCCGTGCTGGCATTTTCGAACGGGGCTGGCCAGCGAAAGCCGCCAAGGATAAACCAAAAGGAGCAAGGATGCAAGGGCAAGTGGACTAAGAAATTTGTTCATCCTTACTGTGCGATTTGACCGTATGGAGAGTGAGGGACGAGGTGAGAGGGCCGGACGAACCAAGGGATGGGGGAATAGGGTGTGGAGGAGAAGAGGACGCGGGAGGGGAGGGAGGGAGCGGACGAACAGGAGGGACATGAAAAGAGAGGAAGGGAGATGAAGGGAACCTCCGTAGCCATTTTGGCTCAAGCCATTTTGGCTCAAGTCCGTAGCGTTTCGCTCAGAGACTTGCCATCTGGCGGGGGGGGATCGCGGCCCCCGCAGCTTTCCCAGGCGTCCGCCCGCCTGGCACCTCTTACAAAACGTTCCCTTTACGGTACTTCCTGGCCCCTCTCGCTCAGTCCCGATGGTGCCTCCCGCTTCTTCTCGTCGCCCTTGGGTTTACACCGAAGGTGAGGAGTCAGAGGCCTGGCAGCTCAAAGGTCGTGGGCGTGGCGGGAAGATCAGTTCGATCCCCTGTGGGGTCTGTGGCTGCCGTAAAAATTTGGCTCACTTCTCCTGGCGCAAACACTGCAAGTCACCATTGTCCCATGTCACCCCTGTCGAGCCCAAGCCGCCTGGTGGGCAGTGGGCTAGCCGTGGAGATGATGTCGGTGGTGCGCCCGTCCCGAGTCTCGGCAAAGGAGGAGCTGACCCTGACAAGGGCAAGGTGAAGGGCAAGAAGGACAAAGGCAAGGGCAAGGGCTTCGGCGACGGCCATCGTGGTGGCGCTGCTGCAGCTCTCCCTCCTGACCCTGTTCCTGACCTCACGGAGCGTGAGGCGACCACCCTGGCCGAGCTCTCGAAGAAAGCAGGTGGCCTGCCGAGCTTCAAGTACAACGAGCAGCTTGCGTCCTCTGTGGCGGCAAAGTCTAAGGAGTTGGTCGTGCCTCCTCACCAGCGTGCGCAGCAGGTGGCAGCCGACATCGAGAGGAAGGAGAGGAAGCTGGAGCATGAGTTCGGCAAGCTGCGCCGTTGGCGGGCCGAGCTCGAGGAGCAGAAGTCCCTGGTGCTTCAGTGCAAGGCTGAGTTGGACAAGGCTGATAAGACCTACCAGTCCGTGGTCAAGGAGATGGCCTCTGCCACTCTTCCAACTGGCCCTGTCGGCACCCAGCAGGTGGACATCAAGGATCTCTGCGATGGTAAGTTGGCCTTCGAGTCTCTTTTCAACTTGGACAGCCTTTTCAATGTTCAGAAGGAGGCCGAGGAGTTCGAGCTCTCGGCCGATGACGAGAGGGAGCTGCAAGCGCGCAAGCCGACCCTCTCCGACTCCATCCAGGATTCAAGGGAGCTCTGGAAGCCTCCGCTGCCGCCAAAACCAGCCACGAGGACCACGAGCGTAGGCTCACGAGGAAGAAGAGGAAGACCGAGGACGGGGCCGCTGCTGGTGCTGCTGAGGCTCCTACTGGCGACAACAGCAGCCCGTCAGCCGCTCCTGGCACTGAGGGCCCAAGCGAATCGCAGCAGCCTTCAGGTGCCGAGCCTGTTCCAGAGCCGCCTGAGGTTCAAGAGGACATTCGTACCAGAGTTGCTCGAGAGTTGTCAGGCCCCCCCCCCCCCCTCCGCTTGGTCAGTGGCGTAGCGAGGGGGAGCTACGGGGCACGCGTGTGCGCAGCTGGCTGTCTTCTTCTACCTTTGTTCGCTCGCCGAGTGGCTCTATTCGGAGGAGCGAAGGAGCAGGGTTTCCGCTCGTGGAACCCTCGCACTTGTTCCGCGACTCTGCCGCCCTGACGCTGCAGAGCTCTACTCTCGTCGCCGAGACTGGAGACTCAGAGTGCGATGGGGTCTTGCCGTCGAGGATTTCGAGCACGTCTTCGCCTTCGACACCGGGACATGTGGGAGGACTTCGTGTTGTTGGCCTTCGTGAGGCTGGGCTTCATCATGCAGAAGTTGTAGGATCTGTCTCTCTTGTTTGCGCTTCGCATTCAGTATGTGGACTGGCTGGTGCGAGGCTTTCTGGACAAAAAAAACTGCCAGGACAAAGGGCTGCTGGGGCAGACGAGCCGCTGTCGCTGCCAGGGCCCGCTGTGCTTTGTAACGAATTCGTTGATGGTGCTGGAGCCGATCCCGTCATTCGTGATCTTTGACTGGATGGAGTCCCAGCTTGTGCCGCCGTTCCACTGCCGCTGTACGCGTCGCGCCAGCAAGCGAGCAAAGGGCGCCTGCCCTTTCCTGTTTCCCTCGTTTGTCCAGTCGAAACCAGTGCCCCTGACGCCTGCCTTGTTATCTCCAGAGTCCGAGGTCCCAGGTCCGTGGCCCCCCCAGGTCCTGGCCCTTTCTGGCGTGGTCGCTCTCACTATCTGGACAGCGAATGTGAACTCCTGGGGCACCCTCTTGGACCTCCTGGAGTCCGAACCTGATGCGCACATCCTTATGGTTCAAGAGCACCGTCTTCGGGGCCCTGAGGCTTTGGCACGAGCTTCTTCGAGTTGTCCTCGTTTGGGATGGAAGCCGATCTGGATGCCAGGCATCCCTGGCCCGCAGGGTGGTGACAGCTCTGGCGTCGTGATTCTCGCCCGTGATTGGCTTGGCCTGTACGAAGCGGACGGGGGCAACTTGTGTGACGGTAGGGTCCAGGCTTGCATGGTGCACGCGCCTGCCTCGCCTCCCGTCTGTCTCCGTTCTCTCTACTTGGAGCACCCGGTCGGCCTTGACTCGACCAACTCAGGGGCCTTGGCCAAGCTGGGTGAGTTTCTGACCAACATAGATTGCGAGCTCATATTGGCAGGTGATTTCGATTTCAACCCTGAAGCGTTGCACTCGTCTGGTTTCGTGTGCGAGTTGGGGGCCCATCTCGTTCACACTGATGTTAACACCCATGTCCCCTCCCAGGGGCAACCTGGCATCTTCGACTGTTTTGTGGTCTCGGGGGGTCTGGGCAGAGGTATTCGCAGCATCAATGTGGCGGAGGGCTCCTCGTCGCACCCTCACAGGCCTGTGAGCTTGAGCTTCCACCCCCAGCTGCTGCATCTTAAAGCTCTTGCCTTTCGGAAGCCGCCTCCTTTGCCTCCGTCGCCTCCGCTCGGGCCAGCTCCTGAACTTAGGGGTGGAGACTGGACCAGAGCTTTGGATTGCGTGGCGGAGGCCAAGGAAGCGATTGCGAGAGTCGATGGTGATGGTGCCCTCGCCCTTTTGCCTGTGCTGTACCAGCTGTGGGCCGATCAGGCCGAACTTGACCTCGAACGCTAGCCAGGATGTGATCTGCCCCATCACGGCTCCCGAGGCAAGCCGGTGGAAACTTATTGGAAAAAACATAGTCAAGCCCCTGAAGCCCCCCAAGGATGCTCTCCTGCGTGGCCTTCGCTGGCTTGAAAACCAGGTGAGGGCCCTTGTGGCTGAGTTCAAGGCTTGTGGGAGATGCAAAGGTAAGGTCGCGCTGATCCTCGACGCTCTCAAGGCGCCGCCTCCATCAGCTGCAGTTTGCAGCTGCTTCGCATGATGGTCTTTTTCGCAGGGCGGCTTGCTTAGACGCTTCTGATCCTGAACAGTTTCTCCACGACTGTGAAATCCTCCTCCAGGGCGATATCTCGCCGCTCGCTGCGAGGGCCAAGTCGGGCGCGGTCGCGCGCAGCAGGGCTGCCTGGAAGGACTGGCTCCAGGAGGGGCTCGATTCGGGAGGAAAAACGGCCCATCTGGCCCTGCGGGACCCCGAGCCTTGGAAAGCTTCGACCACCCTGGTTAGCCACGGCTGGATTCGTGCCGATCCGCATTCTCTGTTGCAGGCCGAAGGGTTGAAATTCAGCCGGCTGTGGGGCCCTGGTGCTGGCCCTGAGGAGGGCCCCGCGGAGATCATCGACGCCCTGCCCCAGCTCTCGACCGACGGGCTAGGGGAGCTCAGCCGTTCGTACAGGAAGGCCAGCGCCGCGTCGGTGGATGGATTCCACCTCCGTGACTACAGCCTCCTGAATGACGCTGCTCTGGAGGCTCTGGCTGGGATGATGTGGGTTGTCGAGTCCATCGGTCGTCTTCCTCCCCAGGTTTCGGTGGTCCTTCTGGCCCTCCTGGGCAGGGCCTCAGGAGGCTTCCGTCCGGTCGGAGTTGTTGTTTCTTGGCGCCGTCTGTGGGGCAGGGCCCGTCGCCCTCTGGCCCTTCAGTGGGCATTCGATCATCCCAGAGCCTACTGGGCTGCAGGCGCCCACCGAGGCGCGGCGGACGCTGTCTGGCGCCAAGCCGTCACGGCTGAATCAGGAGTTGCCTCCAAGCTTGCGTCTGCGTCCAATTTCTGGGACATGAAGAAATATTACGAGAGCATCTCCCTGGAGTATTTGGAGCATCAGTGTAGGCGCCATAGCTTTCCTCGTTGCATCGCCAGGGTTTGCCTTGAGGCTTACAGGTCGGTTCGGTACCTGTCCTTGGGAGGCATCTTGGACGGGCCCCTTATTGGGCCCTCTCTGGCGTCATTGCTGGTTGCTCCATGGCGACCAGCTTCATCAGAGTGTTCGCCATGCCGGCTTTCGACGATATCCCCCTCCAAGTTGGCACCGATTTCGACGCTTACATTGACGACGCGGGTTTGTCTAGGACAGGTACGCCCGAAGATATTGTTGCGGGCTTGGTCTCTAGTGCTCGCGGCCTGCATCAGGCCATCGCCGA